AATCATCATCATCATCATAGCAGTTTCTGTGTGCTTTCTTACGTCGCGCTGTTACAGCTAGTACTTTAAATTTTTTGCAACACATACGGCATTTGAGAGAAATTCAAATTAACACTTTTCCAAAAAACATGATCGCCTGAATTAAATACATTTTGTTTACAACTTCAGGTCTGAAATTGATATCGGTACTGCATGATCTATCAACAATACATTATTTCAACGTAAACTTGCTAGTTCTATTTACATTCAATGCATTTGAAACAAATTACAATTCAGTAACACTTTGCTCTCATCTGGTTGAAATAGATTTCAATCTCTTCCCTTTGAAAACTTTGCGAAGAATCGTTCGAAAACGCAAGAGCAGAAGTAAATACAAAGCGATAATGTAAATGCAAATATAAATATTAACTACGAGCAATTAACTTTCATTGGTCTTTGTATTATAAATGTGCGAGTATAAATATATACATTCTGGAATAAAGAAAAATAGAGAAAAGGATTTTTACTTTTATATGGTCACAGGCATAAATATACTGATGCATCTTTTGTTAAAAATATATTGTTTTTGCAAGAACCAAAACCTAAGTGAGAATAAAAACAATAAATTTTGTTCAAAACGTCCGAGAGCTATAAACATATGTTACGACTGTTTTTGTTGTCATTCGCATTTTTCTGTCGCGTGAAAATCCCACAAATATCCCATGCATATCCCACGAGAATCCCATGTGTTAGTTCACAGTTTTTAGGAGCTACATTCTAATTGATTGAAATCGAATTCCCGCTCGTTTCCGCAGACGTTACTTTCCAAGCGAAGAATAAGCGTCACAAATTACGTCTGGGTTCGCAAACTATCGTTTCATGCTTAGTGTATTCGAAAAATAATTAAATTTAATTCATCACTTCGTTTCTCCGGTTGATAATTTGTTCAGCATGCTTTCATGAAGTATTATCAGTGCTGTAACAGTTACATTTTATTTGTAACTAGTTACAGTTATAGTTACATTACCAAAAACATAACTAGTTACCGACACAAGTTACAGACGCCAAAGTGTAACTAGTTACAGTTACAAAGTTACAATATATTTTTTGTAACTTAGTTACAAAGTTACAAGTTACATTTATTGATTGCAATTAAGAACGCACACAATTCGGATGGGCCGAATGGTAATGAAACTTGCGGCAAAATTATTGGCAAAATTAATAACTATTTACTAGGTGTATCTGCATGCATCTATAAAATTCCACCAAATCGATTTTTCAATAGAATTGTCAATTAAAAAAACTCTGCTATTATACAGTCTGAACGAATAGATTGGAAAAAAACATACCTCACTGGCTAGTGGCTTCTGACTTCGCAATGAAAAAGCAGAAACGCGAATACGTGATCATGACTGGGCCAAGGCCAAGTGAAATGACGCCAAAGACCAATTATGACGAGGCGAGTTCCAACTGTACGTAAATTTGACGTACGTCAATCTTTGACTTAAATTTGTGTCTTGAACGGATTCTGTTGTGTCAGATTAAATTATTCCTGTGCAGATGATTAAGTACCCTGATTGCCAGAGGTTCTGTATCTTTCGCCTTATTCCCGCTCGTGTATTTATTTTACGCGAGGCGAAGAGAACCTCTGGTGGCACGCGATACAAATCTCTCTTCCCTTGGTACAAAATTTGTACCAAGCACATGATTGGTTAGTTATAATTAGTAGTCACATGAAGTGATGTGATTGGCTAGACAAAAAAACCTGTTTATAAATCTCAGAGACATGATGTAAACAAAATACAGAAATAATACGAGCGTATTACAGGTAAACTACGTGAAGCGTTCCTCTTTTGACTTCGTAACTCATTTGGAATTTTCCTCATTAGCTTTGCAAATTTGAAAAACTCTTTGCAAATCCCTTGAGGGAATTTGCAATGTTCCTATCGGCTGTTGCAATATTCCAAACTTCATTTTAAATTTTTCTAACTTCCTGTTTTAATTTCCTAACTTCCTGTTCTGTTCTGAGCGTTGTTATTGGTCGATTATTTTTGTTAGCCAATTGCAACACGCAGAACAGAACAGGAAGTTAGGAACTTGTAACAGGAAGTTAAGAACTTCTAACAGGAACTGAGGAACATTTTTTTCTCTTTTAGCAACATTGAAAATTCCCTCAAGGAATTTGCAAGAGAGTTTTTTAAATTGCAAAAGTAATGAGGAAAATTGCAATCAATTTAGAAACTCAAAAGAGGAACGCTTCACGTAGTTTACCTGTAAAATGCTTTACTCAGTGTGGGTTATTTGAGTTTAACTTAGTTTGTTCCGCTATAAAAAGACTTTCTGCGCTGGAGAAGAGCTGCAGTGCCATCGCGGCATGACTTGAGTCGACGGCATGACATGTTCACTCTATTACAGTAGTAATATTTGTAAAATATAAAGTGTCGGTCACTTGCTTTATATCGTTCAAGGTTTTAAATTTTGGCAATTCTTTGACTTTAATAGTTATTAATATGATTTATTTTGCCAATATTTTTCCATTGTCTGTTAAGGACAACCATACTGGCTCCGTTGCACACGTATATATAAATATTTATATGTTTATATTCTTTCACTTTTGACTTTATACGTTCGCTATAAATAGACCTAATACAAACGGCATTCCACAATCAGTAAGGTTGCTTTTTGCTTTGTGCGTTGCGAGAATAATCTATATGTTTCTAATGAATAAACAGAATAATCTACATGTTTCGGCTGCTTATTTTCAGTATTTTACACCGAGTTTTACACAAGGTTGTCTGAAGAGAGCTATTTTGGTAGTATGACAAACCCTGAAGTTTAAAAACGTCACAAAATATAAAACCGGTTTTGCAAGTTCTCAAACGGCAACGTCAGCATGGAAGAGAGATTTGTATCGCGTGCCACCAGAGGTTCTCTTCGCCTCGCGTAAAATAAATATACGAGCGGGAATAAGGCGAAAGAACCTCTGGCAACCAGGGTAATGATTAAGAGCTTGCCTGACTGTCTATTGATTTATTTCATTTTAAAAACGTACACAAATAGCAACGAACAAAATGTAACTTGTAACTTTGGCAAAATAACTTGTAATCGTTTCAATTTTATGGCATTTTTTGTAACTAGTTACCGTTACAGTTACATGTTCTCAAAATGTAACAAGTTACCGTTACCGTTACTGAAAAATGTAACGATTACTTGTAACTAGTTACTTTCAACGAAGTTACTTACAGCACTGAGTATTATGTACCGCACTGTAAAAAGAGATTGGTTAAAATGACCAATTTGAATTAATTATCTCAGACAAGCATTTTATTATTATAAACTGGGTAATCTTAACCAAATGTTTGTTGTTAAACCATATAATGTTGGTCAAGAGAAAAAGCATCGGAGACAACTAATTCAAATTGGTTATTTTAATTAATTTACAGTGTGTTCTTAATAACATAAAGCATTGCTTAGCTAGCGAGCAGGAGTAAAATCTTACAATAAGGCTAAGTAAAAACAGGAAAGCCCATTCTCTTAAATTATACGGGAATCAGTGAGTATTTTGATAACATACAAAACAATAGATATATAGAAATGAATTTATTTCAGGATGATGACTATAGTTTAGTCGAAACATCGAAATAAATTTTCAAAATGCTTTCAGTATCTATTGTTTTCCATTCTCTTAGTTTCCAGATCGGTATATATTGTTGTAACAGTCCAGGTAAACACGTTTACGGCAATATCCAAATCTAAAAGACAGTATTCCTCCCATGCTTCTTATACTATTATGCCTGTATAGTTTTAATTTTGTGTCAATGGAAAATATATATGCTCTTCCTTTTAGGTATAAAATAATGACAAATTGCTGGAAAGTGAATCCAAAAGACCGACCAACATTCCCGGAAATATTGCGAGATCTTCGCGAAATGCTCGCTGATAATGAGGTAAGTGGTCATTTATAGATGGAATGTATACTTCCATGTACAGTTTAAGAGGAGAATTTATAAAATATCGATTAATTAGCGCTCGAAAATACCGTAATCCTTTGCGCTAAAAAGAAGCATTTTGTTGTTTTTGCGAAAATGGCGGGGTGAACATTGAGTGCACTGAATTATTGGTGATATGTCGGACTGAAAAGTTGTTAGATTTTAGAATATATTACAGAAATGGATTCTTTGTAATATCTTTATAGTATCTGTAAGCTTCTAGAGCACTTTCACGGAAATGTTGAGAAGAAATGCATACTTGTAATTGTAGAAGAGTGATGTTCGACAACAGAATACTCAGGCACGACAAATTCACTAGCCTGATAACACACCTACGTTTCGCCCAGCCTCATAGAAAATGCGATTTTTCTGCCAGCAAAAAGGTTAATCCACTTTGGAACGTTTTCCGTGGTTGTGGGCATTCGTTCCACATCGAATACATTCTGACCAACATCAGGTCATCAGCGATTGCCCAGTTTGTCAAGCAACAACCTTGGCAAATGCAACCGTGGCAAATGTTGAAGCTCTTGGAAGGTCTTGGAAAGACCGCAAATATTAACGCTGTTTGCTCCGGCGACTCGCTTTGAAGAGGACGAAAGCGCTTAAGAAAGTGAGACAGCCGATGACGACAAACCAGAAGACGAACAGAACGAAACACTCGTGAACAGTTTGTTTATAGAAAAAATACAATCGACATTTCGCCAACCGGATATGTAATGAGTCAGTCCTGGATCGTTGTGACGCATTTCCGACGCGAGATGAGATCAGATGGGTAATATTTTAAAAAACATATCGGCTGTGTGGTGTGGGGAAAATAGGTTCTCCATCGTATTTTAAACATCGATTGCAATTTTACAAATTGATATTTAATATCTCAAACTAAATAAAAAAAATGGAAATGAAAGTCAGTGAAATACAATTTTGGGTCAATTCAGACTCGCGACAAGCAGTTGCTGTTCGGCTAAGCCGCCATGCACGCGCTTCTTCTTTCGGACAAAATTGCATTCCTGGCATTTTTATTTACATTTAGATACCGTACATCAATTTGCAACAAGTTGAAGACGAAAATTTTCAAACACAGATTGAGCCTGGTGGTGCGACCATGAAGAATGCCGACACAACCAAAGAAACAGCAGTGTGAAAGAAACTTCATTTTCTCGATCGAACTATATGTTCGACATAATTATTTCAAATTTATAGTACTCCATTTTTCAACATATTAGATAGTCTGTCTTCTCTCAATACTTCTTGCAGACTATATCATCTTGCAGACTATCCTCAGACTATATGGATTATATATATACTGTATGTGACTAGCACAAGAAATTAAGAAGAAATATTTACAAAGAGAAAAAATAGAAAGTTTTACAGTTTGGTAACGCGTGATGATTTTTTACAGATGAAACAGACTGTTGCGGAATTTTAAGGTATGCGAAATTATATATATATATATACCAGGTGGGGCAAAAAAAGTACGATTTACTATATAACTTAGAATGTAAAAGAGCTATATTACACTTAAATAAGTCGCAGTATATTCCAAAATGTTTAACTTAAATTTTGATATTTGTCTTGTAACTTTTCATGCAATATTTATACTGGGAAAACTGTGTTTATACTTGAGCAAACATTTTTGGAACCGCCGAGAATTAGCTGAAAAGGCCCTATTATAACCAATTGAACAACGTTTACCATTTTCTAAGCTTGCCATTATTGTTTCAGTTAGGGGGTTGGTTTGACGAGGTCAGTTGTTCTGGGTCCAAACTTTGTTGAAAAAACTCGACACGAGAGAGTAGCTCCAATTGATGGGGCAAGCCTATGTGCGATTGAAATCTCCGTGTCTGAAGCACAATTTGAGAGGGCTTCGTGAAACAATTGCTACAGCATGCCGCAACTAATTGAAACAGCAAATGATCCAAAATTCTTTCGATTGTATGATTTCACGGGCAAGACGTTTCATTCGTGCTGGGGGACATGCATTTACTGATGAATATGGACGATTGTTTTTGAACAACAAGCGCGAACGTACTGACAATAAAGTATAATGCGTCTCAACACATTAAGTTATTGCATGTTGTATGTATTAATATTTAAAGGTAGGTTACAGTCGCATCTGCGCATGCGCTGGACTTTGTTTACGTTTTTTGTTTTGATCCACATTAATTATATAAGATGAAGTATATGACGAGTTCAAAGTAACATTCCACATGATAATTTGTGACCGAGGAGTGCAATGTTTTACA